TTTCCTTCCATGAAAATACCCAAGGAGAAGTCAGCAGAAAAGCCTCATGTCTCTGACTTTCACAACCCTCCTGTGAGATGTCTCATAGGCACTTTCAACATAAAACTACACAATAGCTTCCTCTTAACAATTCAGGCATCATCAGTGAAACAACCTGCATGGGTCCGGCAACTCACCAGTTGATCAGTAATTTTAATCTTTCTCCTCACATTGTTCCCTAGACCTGTTGATAAGCAGAAAAACCAACTGAGTTCACTTTTCAGCAGGTCAACCAATAACAGTGCTGATGGCTAGTATGAAGACCCAGGTTTCAGAACACCCATTCTTGGCACCAATGACCTGGATAAAACCACCAATCTGCTGGTAAAAAAAAAAACAAAACAAAAAACAAACAAACAACAGCAAAAAAACTGCTAAAATATAGGCTCCAGTACACAAATAACCATGCGAACATTGGGAAAATACTTAGCATTTCTGTGACTCTGTTTTTCAGCTTTAAAATAGTTTAAAGACATGATAGGATATTAACTAAGGTAATCTGTGTGAGGTACTAGCACAATGTCTGACACTTGGTAAAGTATTTAACAGATGTTCACTACTATTATTATTTTCATGTATCCCTGAAGACAAAAGGTATGCTTTGGCAGTCAAAAGACATGCTGGGAACATTGGGTAGTCTTGCATTGACCAAAGCTATTGAATCACATCTGGTTGGATATTATTCAGTGTAACCCTATAATAACATATATCTGGAGATAATTCATTTGAATCCTGCCGGCTACCAACCCCTATTTTCTAACATGGGGGTAGGCTGAATTCCTTAGCCTCTAAGTGAGCAGGGATATTAGAAAATAATAGCTTTGAAGTATTGGGGTTTAACTCCATGTATGGTCATATTTGCTAAGTATAATTTCCATATGCTTTTAGTGCTATATTGATCCATTTGTAAAACATTGTCTTTCATTAATGTCACAAAAATGTAACTCCTTGTTCAACATATTTGCATTTTCTGGTGTCTACTTATCTCAGTATGACAGGATTTTACTGTTCTTACAAAATAGTCCAGTCGTAGTTAGATCTGCTTGCCTGAACTTTCAAAGGGAAGCATAGATTAAAAGGAGAATAACTTGCTTCAACACCACAAGTGGGCCCAATTGAAATGCATTTGGGGGAGGTTTGTGTTGTTTGGTTTGCTTTTGCTCCCAAAGAAAGGTGCTCCGACGTTCACCTTTTGACCAGACACTGCCTGTAGAGATTACACATGATTACAACAACTTCAAACTTGGCGCCTCAGCCCATTTCTGCCTGTATGAAAGAGAAGAAGCATCCAGCCTGGGAGGTTTTCCTTACCTGGGATTAGCAATTTGCAAAAGCTAGTTACCTAAACTGCTTGTTGCAACACAAAAGGGAGTGAGCGAAGTCAGATGACACCACGACTAAGCTTCCCACTCTGCACTGGCACTCATGAAGGTGGGATGGCTCTGGCTTCTTCAGTCATCCAAAATTCAGACTTCTCCAGGTGCCCACCAGCCAAAATCATAGTGAAAGGAATCTTGTGAGTCACTGACTATGTTTTTCTGAATGGTTTGTCAAGTTCCACAGACCAGCCTGGTTATATGGGTGCAGAATCTGCCCATGGAGTTATAAATGTCACTCTCATGACAGAGTTACAGCCAAGGGTGTAGTCTAAAGTTTTATCTTTTTTTTTCTATTGCCCAACTGGCACTGTTGCCAAGAAAGGATTTGATTTCTGTGATACTAAGACTATAGTGACACATAGAATTAGTCAGAGGGAGCATTGTACACTGAGTACTAACATCAAGAACGACTCAGATGTACATGCACCTGCTTCTACTATTTCCTGATTTCATGAAAGAGACAACGAAGAGATGTTTATATTTTTGAATTTCTAATATTTTGTTTTCTCATACTAAATTTAGATGATACTAAATTTAAGTGGGTTTGAGATGTTTAGGTGGGTTAAGTGGGCATTTTTGACAACATGGCTTTTCCTTCGGCATGTTTAATTGTGATGTTTAACAGACATCCTTGCAGTTTAAGATGACACTTTTAAAATAAAATTCTCTTCCTAATGATGACTTGAGCCCACTCTATAGGAGAATCAGCAGAACTTGTAGGATCTCATTCAGAATTGACATTCTCTATTGTAATTTTGTTTGTTTATTTTTAAATTTTCTTTTTATGTTTTCACTGGAAAGGAAAAGATACTCAGTTTTAAACGTTAAAAGTGTACAAGTTTGCTTTGTTACAATAAAACTAAATGTGTACACAAAGAAAAAAAATTACTACTAACTACTAGATGTAGAAAATGTGAGTCCTGTAGCTTAACACCAGAAACTGGAACCAGACTGCATGGGTTCAAACCCTGACATCACCACTCTTTGCATCAGTTTTCTCAATTATGAAATGAATAATACAGTCTAAGTGCCTGATACACAGTATGAAATAAAAAAAATATTATTATTGTTCTTAGGCAGTTTTAATATCTCAGTATCATAGATAGATATGAGACACAAAATAAAACAAGAGCAACTGAAACAAAACCAGAGTAAAGTATCTAAATCCCACCCTCATCCAGAAGTGATTCCCTCTCTACCATAGTAGAGGAAAAAAGGTAGCTTCTTCTTTTTCTTAAATTCTCTGAAGTGCTCTACAGAATGACACCTTCAGTTATAAAATTGTGTGTTATATTCTATTAATAATAAGATAAGTTGAAACCCTGGACAATTTTTATTTGACTCTTCCAAAGAAGTATTGCCAAACCTAAGAAGATTTTGTGTGTAAGAGGCTAAGGTAGGAGACAGCGCTCATGGACAACATAAGGAAAGGTCATTTGCAATACTTTTCTCTCCTGTCCTACATGACTTAATTTTGGCAAACTACAGTCTCCTTGGGTTCTAGGTTTCTCATGTGTAAAGTGAAAGGATCCCTTCAAGTAAGTTCTGATAACAAGCCAATAAGCTATTTTTTAGACTGAGGCTTATATGGTCTAAGAGACTAGCAAGCATACTCTCAGTGTTTAAACTATCCTGTAATTTGTTATCTCTTATTCACAGATACAATCACTTATTAGCCAATTATTACTACAGTAGGGTAACAGGTACATAGTAAAAAATGGTTATTCATCTGCTTTCAGATACTGTGTTTTTCAGAGTCCTCGAGATTAGATCTAGTAGGTACGTGTCACATTGTTTCTCCAGTTCCTTCCTAATTTAGTGGAATTATAAGAGCTCTCTGTGATTTTCTCCATGAATCTTTAAATGTTATCAGATAGCACCAATTAATTTGACACTGTTCATCTCAAGACCTTATATTTTTCTTTTGGAAGTTTCACAAGAGGAATTTTGTGTAACTGAAAAATCCTTAAAAACATGAAGCTGGTACCAGTGGGTTGTTGAAAGGAACTATTGTTATCACTATTATAAGCAAACTGATCACTAGTATCTTAAACCAGAAAAAAATTAAATAGTAGTCCTCTTATGTGTTGAATACAGTATTACTGAAGTCCATGCATTAGTTCTTAAGCCTGGCACATTTAAGATACAAAAATACATAAATTCCAACAGTACACCATGAGATCAAACTGTTATGAAGAAGTAACATACATACAATGTGCACAGAATTGCACAGAATTGTCTTCCAACAACCTGATAAAAATCTCCTCAACAACTCTTTATAATGACTTGTACAAAAGTCCTTTCAAAATAATGTGTTATTAAAATACAAGGAATCATTTATTCTAGCACCAAGAAATTTAAATTCTTTATACTGAGTTGATATTTTCTGAATTATCCCCATAGTACAGGATTCAAGCAGGTTTAGCCATGGTTTTCATCTTATTTCTTAAGAGTGGGGGATTGAAAAACACCTACTTCTTAAAGTCACTAGCTTGTTTCTCTCTTTACAAAATAATTTGGTATTGTCTTCTTTTATATACTATGCCTTATTTGAAATACAATCAGATTTACAAAAATTTTATTTATAGTCTGGGTATGGAAGTTCATACCTATAATCACAGCACACAGGAGGCTGAAGCAGGAAAATCATGAGTTTGAGGCCAACCTGGACTATATAGTGAGAACTTGTCTCAAAAAAATGTTTTTTAAAATCTATAAGAACCTTTTTAGGAGATGGCCACATATGACACATAAAACATCTAACTTTACTTTAACTTCTCTACTAGGAAAACTGGTTCCAAATAGAAAGAAAAGAACAAAAATGGAAACAGCATCCATCAAAGCATTGGGCTTAAAAACCTCACTCCCTCAGTTCTAAGGACTTTGAGTCTTTGCTGCATTTCTGTACTGTATCCAAAAGAAAATAATGGTTGAGTTGGGCATTCTGCCCACTTTATAACTTGGCAATGACTGCAGCTAACTGAAACAACACTAATTATAAAGGAATCTTCTTTTAAACAAAATCTGTTGACACATTTATACCACTCAACTATCAACTGTGAAGGAGAGAAGAGATTTTTACAGTCCTGGATTCCATTTGTTTGTTTAATCAAATATAAGTCCGTGATTCCAAAGAATGCTGCTGATTTGTGCTGTACATGCCATGACATAAGTCATGATGTAAATAATAAGTCTGTCAAAAATTTATGAAGATTAAAGTACACTTGGCTCCTACATGCTTCATATTTTTCTAGATAAACATTACAGATTCAACTTTTTTATATTTTTCTTTTGTGAGACAGGATCTCACTATGTAGCCCAGGATGGCCTTAAACTTGTGATCCCCCTGTCTCAGGCTCCTTAGTGCTGGGATTACAAGTATACACCAATACACCTGGCTCAGAATCAACTTTTTAATTTGAAATAATAGAAAGAAAAACACAAAAATTATTTATATGTATACTTCCAAAAGGAAACAATATTTAAAAAAATAAATTTTAGAATGAAACTGTAAAGTGATATCAAAATAAATGTCACACAGAATATAAAAGCTACAAAAACAAACAGATGTCATTTACTTACAAGTTGGTTTTGCTGTTGGAGGAAATTTTGTCCGGGTAATGGCCAAAATTATAAAAATAATGACTGGCCATAAAATCAAGACGAGTGTCCAAAGCTGCAAAATAATGATAGAAAAAGTATCAATTATACTACTAAACCAAAAAAACATACCCAAAACAAAAAAGCAACATCCCATGGAGTACAAGTAGTATGTCATACTGTAATATTTCAATGCAAGCTGGATATTTGACTGCCTATCAATATTATTAAGAAAGGAATGAGGGAATTTTTTTAAATGCAGGAGAGTTGACAAGAATGATTTTTCCAGGCTCAAAACCCTGAAATGTTCTTGAGAAGGTCCCTTTCTGGTGATCTCTTATGACTGTCCCAAGAATAATTAGCTTAAAATTCAAATCTTACTAGTAATTTCCTTACCCAGAAATCTTTTAGAGTTTCCCAGTTGTTTATTGCATACAAAATTCAGTATCACTTCAACCTGGATCTAGTTTATAAATTCTAATGCTAGCATACTATGTTCAGCCACGAAGACTAATGTGTGGTCTTGGGTAAGGGGACTCAATAAATACAGGTGAACAAAACAGTGAATGAATGAACCAACAAAGTGAATAATGGAGACAATGAGCAAATGATAAACAGAAACTTGAAGTTCTTTGCAACTCTTCTATACCACTATAATATCCTGTGTCTGCTTCTATCATAGAACTTAACTTACTGTTTTAGTCAACATTTTTTGGCCTCATTCCCCAAATAAATAAGCAGTTCTTTTGTGGGAAGAATAACATTTTACTCATTCCTGAATCTTCCCTACCTGGCAAAAAATAGATGCTCAAGACATTTCTATGAAATAGTTTTACTATTTCATAAGAGGAGCTGCTTTTTCTCCCTATGTAGACATGATTCAGTTCAGAAGTCACTAACTGCTTGATATTTTATAGATCTATAAAATTAGCTCCAGAACAGTGAAAAACACCTATTCATAAGAACATTAACTATGATGTGCAAACAGTTATAGTGCTCACCAAACTACAGGGAAATAACCTGGCCTCTACTTAGTAAAGTTCAAATTGGAATTATGTTTCAGGCTGGTTATGCAGTCACATGATTCCTCCCCCACTTTTCAGAGACAATTTCTTCTACCAAATCTCAACTTTTCAACCTGGGCCTCTGCAATACTCTGAAACAACTCAAACCCAATGGATTATTGATCCTCAAGTGGCTCCTAACCTAAATTTCCTATTAAAATCTTTGTTGTGGGTTAGTGCACTACTCTCCTAGCTGGTAGATTTGACCCACTTGTTAGGCTTTGGGTATAGGAGCAAGATTTAAACAAAATAAAGGAAGAATTTTGCAGTAGATCTAAGAAATTCTAAGGTACTTTGGTCACAGCCAAAATGTATCCAGAGAGGTAGAACTGCTTGATAAAAAGTGCCACTTCTCAGACATTAATATATATACCAAATCATCTTGCAGTATTGTAAACATGCAGATTTGGATTTAGTAGACGTGAAGTGGGGCCTATGAGTCTACATACCTCTCTAGCAAGTTCCCAGGTAGGTGCTGCTGCTTCATGGACTACACTTTGAGCAGAGCGGGCTGAAATGTAAGCCACCTTACCTAACTAGCAGGACAGTTTATAAAGCCCTAGAAAATTTTTGTTTGCAAGTTTCTTTGAGATAATTTAATGGATAGAGCATATGGAAGTATGGATAGAAGGAAAAAGATTATACATATTGTCTCTAGTTTGTAATTGAAATTTCCATTAATGATTGATGCAGACAATGAACAAAAATGTTGTTAGAAATATATTTATCATCAGTACTAATCATGGCTATTTTTAAATCACATTAGGATTTTTGCAGAAACCCCAAAGTGCTATTTACACTCATCACTATGTTAAAATTATGGCTATTCTGGGGATACCTTTTATTTAATAATATAAACATTTTACCATATCATTAAAATTGCTTTTTAATAATTTGACAATTAAAGTTCAACATGATTTGTTTTATTTGTAATCCTACTGGCTTTATTTTATTTTATGAATTTAAAAACAGTATATATACTTAGAAGGCTGTATGCTTAACCAGACTGACAAAGATATCCATTGGATCAAAGATGCTAAGGACTCTTGATCTGATCCAACTTCCTTGTTTTATTGCTTTATTCTCTGGGTATGGAAGCCTAGCATAACTTGTTCAAAGTGCTATATACAATTGGGAAGCAGAGCAGGGGACAAGGATCTGAATCTCTAGATACACAAACCAGTATTTTTTATGATTATCATGCTGCTCTGAGGAGCAAAGAAGAAAGCATTACAAAAATTGTTTTGGAAAGATATAATTGCTGTAGAAATATAGTCTGTGTTGTTATTTTAGCCTAGTCTCTCTGATAGTTAAAAAATTATCCATTCTTTGAAGATCCTGGACGCAAGATATCAATCATATGTTATTTAACTCATTTGAAAAGTAGACTATAAAGAATTAAGATAAAAAATTAATGTTTGTAGATTTACCAGCTCCATATTTGAGGTCATAGTTATTCTTTTTTTTTTATTCATTTATGCATACAATGTTTGGGTCATTTCTCCCCCTTCTCCCCATTCCCACCCTTACCCATTTGCCTCCTCCCTCTCCTCCTCCACCCCCTTGCTATCAGGAAGAAACTATTTTGCCGTTATCTCTAATTTTGTTGAAGAGAGAGTATAAGCAATAATAGGAAGGACCAAGGGGTTTTGCTAGTTGAGATAAGGACAGCTATACAGGGAGTTGACTTGCATTGCTTTCCTGTACATGTGTGTTACCTTCTAAATTAATTCTTCTCAAACTAACCTTTTCTCTAGTTCCTGGTTCCCTTCTCCTATTGGCCTCTGTTGCTTTAAAATATCTGCATTAGTTTCCCTGCATTGAGGGCAACAAATGCTATCTAGTTTTTTGGGTGTCTTATCTATCCTCATACCTCCCTTGTGTGCTCTCACTTTATCATGTGATCAAAGTCCAATCCCCTTGTTGTGTTTGCCCTTCATCGAATGTCCACATATGAGGGAGAACAAATGATTTTTGGTCTTTTGGGCCAGTCTAACCTCACTCAGAATTATGTTCTCCAGTTCTATCCATTTACTTGCGAATGATAACAATTCATTTTTCTTCATGGCTGCATAAAATTCCATTGTGTATAAATACTACATTTTCTTAATCCAGTCGTCAGTAGTGGGGCATCTTGGCTGTTTCCATAACTTGGCTATTGTGGATAGTGCTGCAATAAAGTTGGGTGTGCAGGTGCCTCTGGAGTAACCTGTGTCACAGTCTTTTGGGTATATCCCCATGAGTGGTATTGCTGGATCAAATGGTACATCAATGTCTAGCTTTTTAAGTAGCCTCCAATTTTTTTTCCAGAGTGGTTGTACCAGTTTACATTCCCACCAGCAGTGTAAGAGGGTTCGTTTTTTCCCCAGCATCCTCACCAACACCTGTTGTTAGTGGTGTTGTTAATGATGGCTATTCTAACAGGGGTGAGGTGGAATCTTAGTGTGGTTTTAATTTGCTTTTCCTTTATTGCTAGGGATGGTGAGCATTTTTTCATGTGTTTTGAGGCCATAGTTATTCTTTAAAGAAAGTATTCCTCTGAGTAGGAGGCTTAGTGCCTTGTAACTACTTTTAGGAACACTTACTGGTTTCTCCCAGCAACCTCATGAGAATTCAGCAACTGAGATCAACTACACCAACACAAATAGACATCCACATTCCAATAAGGGGCATATACTATGAGATATCTTTAAATTATCTTTTGATCTCAACCAGCAAAAACCCTTGTTCCTTCCTATTATTGCTTATACTCTCTCTACAACAAAATTAGAAATAAGGGCAAAATAGTTTCTGCTGGGTATTGAGGGGGTGGGGGGGAGAGGGAGGGGGCGGAGTGGGTGGTAAGGGAGGGGGTGGGGGCAGGGGGGAGAAATGAACCAGCCTTGTATGCACATATGAATAATAAAAGAAGAAAAAAGTTCAGGCACCAAAAAAAAAATTATCTTTTGATTCATCTAATTTAATTATTTTTTCCATGAAGATGTTTTGCTAAATTTGGAAAGTAATTTTAAGCATGTTTAAAATCCAGACAAAAGCAGCTTAAATAAGAAAAGTTGAAGGCAATTTAGATTCTGTTAAAGGCAAAAACCATAAGTCCATAAACAAATCCATTATCACAAGCTTTCCCTGGGATTTTGGGCCAGAGAGGTTTAAGAACATTTATGAATACCTCATTTTAGAAGGGTAATAAATACACAGCTCTCTCCACTGTGATCTCCTCATGAATGTTAAGGTTGACAAATTAATCACAAAAAGAAAAATAAGCAAAATTTAAATTTCCATAGCAGCAGGATTATTCTCAACACCATTCTAAATAATGTCAAAAGCAACACGGAAGCAAAAGCAATGTCAAGGATCCAATACTAAGCTGATGAGCAATGGCTTTTTTGTTTGGAGAAACAGCTAACATATTGGTTTTGCACCTGTGGACATAGGAACTACTTAAACACTTTGGGGAAAGCAGTTTTAAAGGTGTAGTGGTTTTGCTAATATTTCAATTACCTCACACTAGCTTTATGCTTCATTTGACATTTCATCCCCCACCCCCATTCTTGACATCTAAGGGCATAATTTACAAATTCCTTAATAGGGCATGGCATTCATGTTCTCTGATTTCTCCAGGGTTTATTTTCTATTGAAATGCCTCATTCTGTTCTTTTTTTTTTTTTTTTTTTTTCTCTTTCCCCTAATTTCAAAAGCATCCATTCTAGGACTGAGAGAGCCACAGTGACCCAGTGAGGGAAGTGGGTTTCTAACAGGATAAAGAGGACACTGACAGTAGGGTGAGCAGGTATGGGGTATAGAGTCCCAGTGGAGGCAAGAAGGCATCAGGGAGAAAAGGCTGAGGCAGGAGCAGAAGATTGGGTTCATATGCTGAAGTTGACCAAATTTCCCCATTATGTGAGCCAGGCTTCTCGCTATCCACCAGGGGAATTACAAACATGGAAAAGAAAGCAAATCAAATGAATACCAGTCCATGGTCAAATACCAGCATCAAATGTGACCCACTGGC